TGCTGCACGAAGACGAGACTACGGTGAGGCTTTCTGACTCTGTTGAAGAAATTTTGGCAGAACACTTAGGGCTCTTTCTTCCTCCCTTCTTCCCCTCTTCCTCGTCCCTCTGTGATTCCTCTTCTCTCTCTTTGTGACTGTTCTCTGCCCTTCATCCCTTCTTATTATCTTCTCTCCAGTCTTTTTTATCCCCTCCATCTCTTCTTCCACCTTCATTCATTCATTTCTATCTTCTTTTTCAATTTATTCATTTTTACTCTTAGCCGAGCCATATTCCCATGCTGCATATCTGTAGTTCTAGGATTCTCGTTTGCTGGTTTGAAATTGATGCAAGTGACTAATAAGCTTCATATTCATGACTAATAAGTAGTGATTGCATCATCTCACTCAGATTTTGTAATTAGAGGAAAATAAAGTAATGATTATATTAATTAAATGGTCATGAAAGATCCGATGTTGCATATATAATCAACAAATATACTGAACCTTTTTTCACCTCTTCCAGAATCGCATGCAAGAATCTCTTAAATTATTTGACTCCATCTGCAACAACAAATGGTTTGGGGATACCTCTATTATTCTTTTCCTAAACAAGAAAGATCTTTTTGAAGAAAAGATAAAGAAGAGTCCACTTACCATATGTTTCCAAGAATATTCAGGTAAGGTTAACTCTTTCATGATATTAGAAATATTTTGGGTAATAATTGTATTGTAAGTTGCATATCTGCAGCATAGAGAAGAATGATAATATTGTGCTTTGGATTTTTGCAATGTACAGATGGATAAAGTTAGAAAAGAATGGATATAATATCAGACATGTGTGTGCTTTGATAGTTAGTGCCTAAGAAATAGGATGTTTAATTTTGGTGATTAGTTTCATAATGAAGATATCACTAGAAATGGATTGAAAATTATCTTGAGGTTACCTTAAGATATGAATTTACATTGAAACCTAGTACTAGGTTATGATCTGATCATACAGTATTATGAATTCATCAAGGAGATTATATAAAAACTCTCACCTATCACAAACTTCATGAAGAATTACATTGTATGCCATTTTAATGTGGATGATACAAATAACGATAATGCTTTGATATGTATGATAGGAATATTAAACTTTATTTTGATAAAAATGGACCATTCTAAGTTGCATACAGATGCATATAACCAGATCAAAATAACTGATACATTGTTTTTCCCTTCCAGGTGCCCAAGAGTATGGTGAAGCAGCTGCTTACATCCAAGCCCAGTTTGAAGCTAAGAACAAATCAACGTCCAAAGAGATCTACTGTCACATGACTTGCGCAACAGATACCACTAACATTCAGTTTGTATTTGATGCAGTAACAGATGTGATCATAGCAAACAACCTACGTGGATGTGGCCTCTACTAAGTTGCACCGCCTCATCTAGATTGTGTGTTCAGTGTAGAGAAAGATGGTACAGTCGTGGTCTAGCCTCCCACTCCAGATAATAATCTTGCCTCTCTTGCAAGGAATTAGTCAGGAGAATTGGCTAGTTGTACCTTGTACACCATTATCTCCTCTCCCTTTGGAGAGTTCTAGGCCGAGAATGGCACTGTCCTGAAGTTTTATCATACGTGTTCATGGTGCGGTCATTGTCATACAGGAACGGATGCCATTAAAGTGATTTCTAGGTGCATAACTGACACAGACCGCTTTGGCCTTTGTAGCCACCCATTTCTAGATCATGGAAGAATTGCATGAGTGATTATGAATTGAGCTTGTTAAAGACTTTCCAGCCAACCCCACTTGTCTTGTATAGTACCAAGTTTAATTATCACTTCCTTACCAAATGAAGCCTTACAGTTCTCGTTATCTGGTACAAGTTCGATAAAAAACAAATGTTGATGATTTTGAATCAGAAGGAAAAGCTTAAATTACTGGTTCATAGAGATGGAACTTTAATGATTTTGAATTATTTGGTGCTTACCATGCACTGATGAAGAAATGTACTCTAGCTTTTGATTGATACCTTGAAGCTTTTGATAACCAAAATAAGACATAGCAGTTACCTACCTTAGTGTCTGAGGGAAATGATATATTTTCCAAACCAGTTATATGTGCAGATGAGACGTGGATATCAATGAGGGCCCAAAACCTTAATAACAAAAATCCATTGAATGGCCAAACATTGGTGGCTTGGAGCAGTGAGTGTCATTCTTTCTAGTCATGTCTTTAATCTTAGTCATTTGTCACAAAAGTAAGTGAGTGGAATACAACAATATATGTACACTGGCAGAGTGTGGCGAGGTGATGTACAGATGTTGCCATTGCTGCTCTATTGTTTTTCTTCTGATATCTTGATTCTAATGGGCCAGGTTTCTAAGATCACCAATATCAAAAGAGAATGAGAACAAAACAAGTTATATTAAATCTGCTCTAACAGCATAGCAGTAAAATTTAGCATAGGATGAAGTTTGGAATGGAGAACATCATTATAAGAAAGATTGAAGTTAATCCACACAGATCTCTCATCATGTAAGACTGTTGGTTTAATAGTGATTATCTTGCACCATTATTCATATCACCTGGTGATTGAGACTCCAGCATCCACACTTAACCTTAACGATGGTCAAATGTGTATTCTGTGAGGCATGCTTAGTTTGAATGTTGAAAGTTTACTTGACTGATCTGTTATTTTTAACTGCAAAGAACTTACAATATCTATTTGATGGTATGTACAACATTGCAGTAGTTGTTCATTCATGTTATTAGTAAGAAAAATTTACTGTAGCATATACGAACCAAGTTTGGTAGTTTGTTGTAGGTTTTGAGCTGGACTTTGCGAGATTCCTTCTGAAATCCCATCCTCAAAGAAATTCTAAAGCTCTCTAGCCATCCAATTGAACCAACTATCAAACTTGGCTTGGTTTGCATGTATAGGTTTTCACTCATGGAGAAAATTATTTAGTAGCAATTCAATATGAACTATAAACAGCAATCACAGGTCTTCATTAGAGTGGACAAGCGCAAACCACTGGGTACAAAATGCGACAAAAGGGTTTGTCAGACATGTAAATTAAAAGAGACTTGCCTCTATGTACACTTGACATTATGAACAATCAGAGCATCCTTAGGATTTGTTCTTTAATCAACTTGAACATATATACCACTTTGATTTAGGTTAGGAGAAGTGGTATACAACATCCAAGTTGCTGACTTTGGCCCACGCTTGTATGCATTCCTCAGACTTTTTATCTCCTGTGCTGTGAAAAGATGTAACCATCAGTTCTAATATGAAGAATGTGTCTTCTTATTAATTAAAATTATATCTTAGATGATCAGGAATTGGGACCAGTTTTCTGAAGAATCCCTAACCTCTGAGGTTTATATTTTATTAAAAAACTGAAAAGCTCTAACAACCGTCATTAGCCAGAATCAAGAACTTGTGTAACTGGCAAATATGTTGATCTGTAATTAGAGTGCATGGTTCAGTAAGAATTAGGTTTCCTTGACTTGTGAAAAGGAAAACAAATTTTATTAGAGCTATGCCAACTAAAGGTACAGTGATCCACTAAGAAAGTAGACATTGGAATGAACAAGGATCGAGAATGTATCATGCGATGCCACAATGGTATCAAAGATTATCTGAGACTGGGGCCAACCTTCCTGGTGGTGTTAGATAAGTAATTAATCTATTTGCTGAGCTTGCCCCACTGCCAAGAGAAGAAACTAAAGCATCTGATTCACCAGGGAGCTTCTCCTCAGCCTGATGTACTCTCGTTACTGGCTCTGTTTCATTAAAAACTACACAAAGAATGAATGATTACCGCAATTACCATGATTATTTTTTTTGCTACTACATATTTTGACTTTACTTGATGTACCAGATCTCTTGCATAAGCCACCCAAGGAGCAAATATCCAGTCATCTGCATGGTTCATACAGGTAGGGCTCATTTACAGCCTAACTAGGAATATCTGCTTAATTGGAATATATATAATGATTTAAGCACAAAGCACATGCCAAAATACACCCTCTCTCTTGTATTAATTGCATTCTTATAGAGGCATACACACTAAGAAGCAAAGTAAAACACCCACACACTCACACTCACTCTCACTCTCACTCTCACACACACTCACACTAACACTCACGCTCACACCCACACCAACAGAGTGAGAGAGGCATACATTTCACTTGCACTTACAGCCTATGAAAATTTGCCAAACTTAGAAAAAAGAATTATGATAATTGTAAAGTTCTTCAGTCTTTGATGTCTTACTGTTAGGCTTACAGAAACTGCCCACAAGCCGAGTGTTTCAAAAAAGATTCTGTATCAAAAAATATATAAAAAAATATATGAAAAATAAAAAAAAAGATTGTCAGTATGGTGTTACAATGTAATATCTCTGGGGGTTTAGAAAATTAATCAACACTTCACACTTCCTTGTAATATTTAAGTAGGTCATAAAAGTAACCTATTCTTACTGTTTTGAGATAGTAGTATCAGTATTTCAGAAAAAAAAAGAAAAAAAAATGATTATGCACAAAGAGACCAATATTGAAATATCCCTCATAAATTACAAGCTGCAATGCAGGGAAGGTTCCGAAGATGTCTAGAGTAGACTGCATATCCTTGTGTAATGGTGTCCGATTATCATTGGTATTGTAATGTATATGGTATAAAGCCCCATCCTCTCATGTATGGTATAAAAATGACTGCTCACTTTTGTACAGTGTATTCGCTTCTCTAGCTGGTAATATTAATATTAATTATATTAATGACATATTTACAATTTAAGGAAGAGGAATAGATATCCATAATTGTCTCCTCTGAAGAAGTGTATGTTGGCGAGTAATTGTCAAATTGCCTCTGCCCTTTTGGCTGCTGCCGAGAGGGTGAGGCATTTTTATTTATGACTGACCATTGCTGAATAAATGTAAATTTTATTTGGAGTGTAGAGTTTTTTTCTGCCTTTGATTTTGAAACTGATCGTCAATAACAGGTAAGGCAGCCAACCTTAATTTTGTTTTTTGTTTTGTTTTGTTTTTTTGCTCTTAGATATATATTTGTTTCTTTATTTTTTATTCACCGTTTTTGTTTAGAGTTTTTAAGATATACTTCAAAGCAAGTTGAGGGTTCAGAAACTTACCTTTCTCTTCTCCAAAACCATCAGATCATTTGAAGAGGGATGACAAGGCTGAGAGGGAAAGAAATAGATTCTTGTCCTAAAGATGTGACAACCATCATCTGCTGTGGCCATATCTGAATATTATCAAGGTTGCAACCTACAAGCCTGAGGATGAGACCACTGTAAGTTGTTAAAGTTGTGATGACAGTTCATTATTTTATTCAGAATTCTCGTTTGTTTCACTAGTGAGAACAGTAATTTTTTTTTTTTTTTTTTTTTTTTTTTTTTTAGTACTCATCTTTGTATAGGTTTTCAATTTTGTAATGTACATGACGTAAAAGCTGCAAGATATTGACAAGTTCCAAGAAACTGGCATGGCATGTAATCGATATTTAAAACTGATTAAAAGAAATACCATAAATTTTTGTTTTTTGTTACATATATTTTGGTTTTCTTTGATGTTATTCTTAGTCCAGAGAAGTTCTCCCTCTCAAATTAATTTTTCTTAGTAATACATAAGAACAATGGTATTTAGCCATTATTCAACTTACTTTAATACTAGTAACTGTTCAGTAAACTTTTAAAGAGCTTTTAAAATGAATGATAATTTTGTAATTTTCTTGTTGCAGAACTACATGCAATAATCTCAGAAGTTGATCAACTTAGTCTGCAACAAAGAATGGTATGGAATTGATCATTCTTGTCCTTGGCAAACAGATTTGGTTTCCACACACCAATATGCTACGCCAAATATACAGGTATGTAAGCAGAGAATTACACACTGCATGAAGTGTAAAAATGTGGTAAAGCTGAACAGTACTTGGATCACAAATTCAATAAATCCTGCATTTGGGATTAGTTTTAAAAAACAAGCATCATTTAGGTTCAAGATGATTGCAAGTTTTTGCTCAAGTATTATGTATATTGGTTAAGTTTGTGCAAGAATGTCTTTCATTTCATGGAAAGATATACTAATAATGCCTTCATAAGGAGACAGGAAATAATCTAGAATTATGTTAATGTGTCCCTACTTTTTGGCAGAATCCATGGAGTTAAATGAAGCCTTGACAGACATCGAACCTTGATTTGAGTGCAAGAATACGTAAAAAGCATGAAAATCTTTAGCCACAGTGATTTTGCTACAAGTACCATTCAGTTTGCTTTTTGGTTGGTATGAGGAGCATCAAAGCAAACAACCTTCGGATATTGTGGCTTATACTGTGTTTTTTTGTGTATCTTCCAGCCTCTAGTTAAGGGTGGTTATTTATTCTATAATGGCATCCCCATCCTATTTACCGGGTGTTATTCTTGGGTTAAAATTTGGTGTTTATTTGCTACATGATGCAGGATACTCATGATTTTATAATAAATGGTAATTAATGTAATGGTAGACACTGCAGTGAGGTTGGCTGAATATGTATGATTCCTCTGTAATAGACCTAACGACAGTTCCCAGTCCAGTTAAATGAAAAAGATAGAAAAGGGAAGAACAGAAGGAGTAACAAGATGTGTATGTCAGAAATTAATATTTATTTTTTTATAGGTATAGAAATATTCTACATGTTAATAAAGAAAAAATCAATAGCTTAAGTAAATATTGGAAGTATTGCTGGGAAATATACAATCTTTGTGTTTAATTCATGTTTAATTCTAGTGTATTGTCTTCAGTGCTTACTTTTAAAGTAGATGAAATTTCAGGACAGTTGAATTCTACACTAAGAATACATTAGTAAGAAAAGATATAGTGGAAGGCCATTAAGTCACAATATTTTGTGGAAAACCGAGTTTTAATAGGTATGTCCTCTAATATGAAGACTTCAAATTGCGTAGATGATATAGCATATCTGTTCTGATTAAGATATCTTTACAATCAGAGTGGAAATATCAATGATGAATGTTTTTCTTTTAGAAACTTTTGATCAAAATGATTCATGTAATAGCTTTTTCTAAAACAATGCCATCATGGATCAGATGTTCACCACATTTTTGTCTGTTTCTTTTATTGTACTTTGTAATTGGCTATTATTCAGGTTGATTTCTGAAAAAAATATATCTGCAGGCCCATCTACACTACAAAGGCCACATGTGGTGCTTGTGCATGCCACTCATCAGTTTCAAATCATGGTGACAGAGTAAAGTGTAGACTGCTGACCAACAGTTTGGGCAGTTCACACTGTACTGACTACAATGTGTATAGTAAGTGTGAGTGACAGACGCACATGTAAGCTGACCATAACTTTCTGGCATGCAGTTTTCCCAGATAATAAGGAACTTTAAGAATGATGTTCACCAATGTATAGTAATGTGCATAATTATGTGATAAATCCTGAGATTTATGGATCATTATCAATGTTGTACTCATTCCCCACTGTTGTAAGTGAAATGTTTACTTTCGTTCTGTACCACTAGGCTGTAGGTGACAGGTATCTCTGTGCAAACATATCAACCACTTACGAACTACCCCAGTCAGGGACGGTGCTTAGGTTGTTCATGTCTGCACTGTTATTTCCCCAAGTACACACCATTGCCATGCTGGAACACCACAGGTGGACAATGATAATGTAGGTGGACATTTAGTCTTTCTAGTCAATTTGATTTTAAGTAAAAAATGCAACTCAAAGAAAATTACCTGAAGTGTACCCAAGGAAATTAATTCCATATAATCAACTAGAATTGTCTGTAACACTGCTGCTCAAGGAAGGACTGGTCCATCTGGGACTTTTTTAAACTGAATTCGGCATATCCATAGTAAAACATTTGTTTACATACATTTGATATTATGATACTTTGCAACTCCACTGGAAAATACTGAAACCTGGGTTAATGTTAGTACTTGCTAATGTAGCTGATGAACTTGCCTTTCTAAGCAGTGAAGATTTAGTGGTTTCCATAAATGAAAATTGTATTGTCAAATACAATACATTATCACATCCATTCTGGGTACAACTGCTTTTTTTGTTCTTGCTAATGCAATACCACTATCTGCAGTAATTCTTGACAGAGCAGAATTATTACTCAGTTTTTAAAGTGTTGTTTTTCAGTTTGGTATGTATATTTTTCCAAGTAATGGAAAATAGTAAATATACCAATGATTACACCTGACTAAATATACCAATGATTACACTCGACTAAACATACCAATGATTACACCTGTTTCATTGGCATTAGTAAGAAATTTGCCATGCAGACTACTAGTAGCCCTTCATCTCCAGGTGTTGGTAACTAACATGTCATTAATTTTAAATGTATCCTAAACTGGGACCAGTAACTGTGTATTGTAGTTTTGCAAGCCAACATTTTCATCTTTCATATGAAATTAAACAACACACACAGAAGAATCAAAATATGGTTGAAATATCTTTATTCCAACAGACGTCCATTTCTGTAGAAAAATATAGACTGCACCTCCATGGGTAATTGTAGTGTGCTTTGAGACAGTTCATTTAACATTTAGGTACAGATTACAACCAAATTTTAGTGCTTTGAGGACTCTTGGTTGTGACTATATTAACAAAGGCTGAAGATGTATCTCAGCTTTTTGCTACAATTTTTAATGAGGTAAATAGTGTTAACAGAGAAATGGACCCAAGCAGAGAAACAAATATTTACTTCATCTATATATTAATATAACTCATCATACTATCCATTTTTATTATTAACTTGGAAATAGATTTTCTTTTTTGCTATCTCATACAGGAAATCAGAACAGATATCACTGTAATTTACTTAAGCTAAACCTTTTACCATGGCAAAACATGTGCATAAGAGTATAGTCTCAAAGAATTAACAGAATTGAATACTTAACAATATTTTATTCAAATTCACAATATTTATAGTGAATATTTATTTAAAATGCAAAATTGTTTTACACTGAATTTTAGAACTTAAAGGGATAATTTTTTTTTTCTTTTTTGGGGAGGGAGTTTTCTCTTCATGTAAGATGTCTTTCTGAATGACCATTGCCACTGGAGAGAGTAACTGTGCAATGGCATAGCATGGCTGTCTGATAAAAAATTTCACCATTCTAGTGTGAGCAACTGCATTGTCAGATTTAAATGCTTGTATAGTTAGCTATTATATTCTTTGTCAAAGCTCTGTCTGTATACCTAGGTAATAGACTTTGCCAACCAAGATGTATAACCGGAGAATGAATGATAAGGTTGGAAAATCCCTTGTTGAAATAAAAACAGCACAGTAGTAGAGAAGGTTCCATCATTTTTCTGTAGTTGTCAGCTTAATATCATATATATTTAACAAAGAGTCTGATACTCCTGCATGTTGAAGACGGCACCTCCATGGGTAATTGTAAGACAGTGTACAGATTACAACCAAATTTTAGTGCTTTGAGGACACTAGGCAGAAGTTGTATCTCAGGACAGAGAAATGGACCCAAGCAGAGAAACAAATATTTACTTCATCTATATATTAATATAACTCATCATACTATCCATTTTTATTATTAACTTGGAAATAGATTTTCTTTTTTGCTATCTCATACAGGAAATCAGAACAGATATCACTGTAATTTACTTAAGCTAAACCTTTTACCATGGCAAAACATGTGCATAAGAGTATAGTCTCAAAGAATTAACAGAATTGAATACTTAACAATATTTTATTCAAATTCACAATATTTATAGTGAATATTTATTTAAAATGCAAAATTGTTTTACACTGAATTTTAGAACTTAAAGGGATAATTTTTTTTCTTTCTTTTTTGGGGAGGGAGTTTTCTCTTCATGTAAGATGTCTTTCTGAATGACCATTGCCACTGGAGAGAGTAACTGTGCAATGGCATAGCATGGCTGTCTGATAAAAAATTTCACCATTCTAGTGTGAGCAACTGCATTGTCAGATTTAAATGCTTGTATAGTTAGCTATTATATTCTTTGTCAAAGCTCTGTCTGTATACCTAGGTAATAAGACTTTGCCAACCCCAAGAAGTATAACCGGAGAATGAATGATAAGGTTGGAAAATCCCTTGTTGAAATAAAAACAGCACAGTAGTAGAGAAGGTTCCATCATTTTTCTGTAGTTGTCAGCTTAATAATCATATATATTTAAAATTAATGTCAAATGACCCATCCTCTCATGAAAAAATAAGTTAAATGCTCAGTTTTGTACAGTGTTCTGCCTGAGTAGGTTGTAATGCACTAATTGTACTTAGGTTACAGCACAGTTTAGTTAAATTGTGATATAGTTTTGTCAAGGTATCAACAGCCTCTTTAGGATATAGTGTAGAAGCTCCTGAGGTGAATATTGTACCTTACTGATTCAGCATAGACAACACTCAGTTTGTATCAGACTGGATATGAATGAAGTGAATGTCATTTATTTTGTTTGCAGCTTTTTACTAACCTTTCAATTTTTTTTTATGCATTCAAACAATCTTTAGATTGTCACTGGAGTAAATTATGCAGAAAGAAAATACAACAGAAAAACAGTCATGGTCTCACTCTCAGACTGAAGGAATTACAGGAATCATAATAATTTATTTATACGTGTGTTTTGAACTTAACCCTTATGATTTGGACAATGTGACCATGTCATGAAAAGATTTGGCTGGAGGGGTGGGTGACGTGAAAATTTGTCTGGGGCTATGGTGACAAACTTGCTGTCATAAGAATTTCAATTGAAACCTGGGGTGACAAGAATGAATCACCCTTAAATACACAAAGTTCTTGCAAGGTGGGTAGACTCACTAGACATTTGGAAAAAACTTGCACTATGTCCATCCATAAACGAGAGTGGAATATACAATCCGTGAACCATGACTGAAAGAGCACTGTCCCCAGAATATTATTATTGCCCACTGTGACCAGCATCTCAGATTGTATTACAGTAAATTGAATATGACAAAAAAAATATATATATATATAATTAAAAAAAAAAAAAAAAAAAAAAAAAATATATATATATATATAAATAACACAATAATAAAATGTTATTCATTATTGCTGTTACTGCACTGAGTTATGGAAGACCTAGAGAAATGATATAGAGTCTGTGCAAAGAAAAATGTCTATCATCTGGATAAAGTAAATTAAGTGATGAATATCTATGTTGGAATGTAAAGAAAGAAAGAAGAAAAAAAAGAAGCTGAAAACTCATATGCAGAAAAAGAGAAAATTATATTGCAAAGGGAAGACATGATCTTGTAGACCAGGCACACACGAACACTTGTGCAGTAACAAGTTGCATTTCTGTCAGTGTGACTGCTCAAGTAAGCCTAATTTCTATATTTTGGGGCACATGCCAGAAGTGAAGCCTCCAGATCCAGGGGGTTAATTTATTTGTGTTCACCATAAAAGCAAGAACAATTATGCTGCTTTTTGAACATACATAATAGGATCATGAAAATATTAGATTTACTTGCTTTCCCATTTTTTCTTGAAATTTATTTAACACAAACTTATTTGAGATTCTAGATGTCAAGTATTGCAGTAAAGAGTAAGGAAATAGGATATTTCAGTTGAGAATTTGGTAACTGATGTAGTAGAGAACTTGAAAATAAGATATGCAATAAATTATGATATTAATGTTGGAATAATGAATTAGAGTACTGAACTAATCTGATATTTTGTGCTATGAGAGAATCTGGTAACAGAAAACACAAACAAGCAAAAAGAATTAGCAAATATGTAATGTGATTCTGAATTAAGGGATTGCAATAGATCCCCCCAATTTCATGCTTCTTGTTGCTGGATTGCTTAGGGATCACCCCTACCTTGGACCTCAACAAATTTTGTATGATCTTTTCTTCTTCACCCCCCACCCCCAATCCCTTGCCCGTTGTTATTGTGGGGGGCTTAAGAGACGGAGACTGAGACCCAGTGTAGGGATCTCCCCTGCCTAGGGCTTCAGCCCTCGACTCAACTAATTTTGCATGGTCTGTTCTCCCTCCAGCTCTTTCATTTCTTTCCCTTCTCCAACCCCTTCTACTATCTACTTCCTAAGGTGTAAGAACTGTACTGATAGGATGAAAGGCTGACTTTGTGCCAGTCCTGAATGGCCTGAGGGAACCATGGGCACAGTATTCCCCTTTTAGTTGTCTAGCCCTTACCCCTCAAGGGGACCCTGAGGGGTGGACTATTTATTTCCCTAACATAGTCAAGGCTTCTCATGGCCAGTAATGAAGACGCAATACCCTTATTAGGGGCAATAATGCTTGCCCCTTCATCAAATAGCCCCACCAATTCAAACTCTCCCGGCTCCCTGACCCCAGGCTCTCCTTTGACCACGACTCTGAACACCAACTACTACCCACTCCTCAATGCCTACTAGTACATTACCCACCCAAGCCGAGACTCAATCTCCAGACGACATTCCTACTCTCCCAACTTCCTCAACTGCATCACCTTTACCCCCACAACCTTCTTCATCAAACACTTCATCCTCCCGTATTACCACCTTACAACCTTATTCTACATCTCTCCGTAATAATACTCCCCCTCAGCAATACTCCCTCTTCCACACATCCCTGTCATTCTACCACCACCAACCCTACAAATATCTTCAAGTGGGGAGAGTCCCTTTCCGTACCCAACCTGATTGTTCCTGTCTCGTAACAGTCACATCTGAAACTGAAGCAATAGCATTATCAAATCTAACTGATCTCTATGGCACCCCCACTCCTGCCGAGCCTCATCCAACTCTTAATACTTGTACTGGAACTGTGTCCATCTCCCCTGCAAGCTGCCCTATGGATATTGATTGGTCAGATTTTGGGGAGAATACTTACTCGGCTGCCTCAAAGACCATGAAGTAATATCAGTACATTGCTACTCCCTTCCTCCTAGAGGTCATTGAAAGAAACCCACCAGCATTGCCAAAATTACTTTCCGTACTCATGACCTTCCCTATCGTATCTACACTGGTGGACAATCCCTCCCTGTTTGACCATACCAACCTCCTCCCCATCAATGTCAAAACTGTTTGCGCTTTGAACATCCTGACAAACAACCTGGTCATAACCGATCAAACTATCCAGCACAAACACGTACATGTGCTAACTGTGGTGGCCCCCATAATGTATTTTATAGAGGCTGTCCCACTTACAAGTTTGAGTCTGAGGTAGCAACTCTCAGATACAAAATTGTCTCACTCTGTGTAAAGCCAGACAGGAAGCACGCCGACAAGGTTTCTCTCAGAGGCCCTACTCTAGTAATATTGCTTGCTCTGCCCCTCCCCCTCCACCTCATGATGTTCCTACACCCTCCCCTATACCTTCTTACTTCCTCACTTCCACTTCTACCTCCTATCAAATTCTTTTGCCCCTCTAAATCCAGACAATCCAATCTCAATTACAGCTCCAATCTCAACTACAGCCGCAGCAGACACTAAACGCTCCGTTCCTTCTTCTCCCACCATACACTCACCTCCACCTACCTTTGCCTTTATTCCTCAGATACCAGTCTCCTCTTCCTGGCCTCATAAGAAAACCTTTGTCTCACTAGATTCTCCAACCAACTCCACAGGTGAAACTAAGGAAGATATTCAAAGCTATATGCTCGAGAGATAAAATTCCACAACTCTTGCTCCCTCCACAGTTGTAGTGACTGCCAAAATCCATCCTCCTCCTACTCATATTCCCCCTACACCCCTTCCTCCTACTCACTCCCAACATAACCTGTCCCCCTCAACTCCGTCTACTACTGATATCCATCCTCCCGATATCCATCCTCCTCCTACTCATATTCCCCCTACTTTCCTTCCTCCTACTCCCTCCCAACACAACCTATCCCCCTCAACTCTGTCTACTACCAATATCCATCCTTGTCCTACTCATATTCCCCCTACTCCTCTCTTTCCTACTCCCTCCCAACACAACCCATCCCCCTCAACTCTGTCTACTACCAATATCCATCCTTGTCCTACTCATATTCCCCCTACTCCTCTCTTTCCTACTCCCTCCCAACACAACCCATCCCCCTCAACTCCAACTACTGCTGATATCCATCCTCCTCCTACTTATGTTCCCCCTACACCACTTCCTCCAACTCCCTTCCAACACAACCCACCCCCTTCAACTACATGTACATTCTCCCTCCCTCCATTCCCTCTATCATTTCTACTCCCCTCCCGGATATACATGTGAATCCCTTATGT